ATAGGTGCATGATTTCTAAATTAGTGTGTACGTCGGTGTAGTTATGGTTCGAATTAATGAGGTGATTGGCAAAAGCAGACTTAGAGTTTCTCCTTGGTAGATGTTCTTTGAACCTTGTAGTGAAAGAACGGGCAGTTTGTCCGATATAAAAACTCGGACAATCGTCGCATTTAATTTTATAAACACCCGTGTTGTTTACTTTATCCATCGTCTTCTTTTTTCTTTCCCCGAGGAGAAAAGAGAATTTGTTAGGTGTTTTATATGCGACTTGTACTTTATGTTTCGCCATTTCTTTCCTCAGTGTGTTGTTAAGTACAACTCCGTATTCTGCAGAGACATATTTCTTGGGGTCTTTTTCTTGGTTTTCTTTAACTTTATTTTTCTGTTTGTTAATAAGTTTGTCTATTAGTGAGCTCTGGTATCCGTTAGATAATGCTATGTATTTTAAAATGTGTAATTCGTTGTTATAGTTTTCTGGTGAGAGCGGGATTGAAAATAGTCTATGTACAAAGCTGTTATAACAGGGTTGCCACCAAAGTGAGATAAAAAAATTCATGCATAATTCAAGGTTTTCATTGGTAGTTTTGAAAAATTCATGGGGTATATGCTCGCACAATTTCACCATAAAAGAGTGTTGCCTAGTTCAGAATTGTACATTAATTTATCGACAATATGTAGTTTTGTGTACTACTATCAAATAAAACACATTTCATGCGTTTATTTTAGAGTTAAAAATAAGAAATTAATATAATTTATCCAGTCTAAAAAAGTAAAATCACAGATGAAAAAGGATATTAATAAAAATCTTGTGCGTGATAATAGGCTACGATGTAATTATTTAAAAAAATTGAAACATCTGATTTAACAACATCATAGGCCTAATGATAAATTCAAACGTTAGAAGAAATAATAAATTAAAAAATAAGTCGGATTGGTAGTTAGGTCTAGGCCTAACCTAAAAAACATTGCATCCAAACATAAAAGGTTTAACTAGGCTAGTTAATCCAGCAATGGCCTAGAACTTTACTGTCTAAACATCAAATTAAGATAATAGGCTACTATAAAAACAAATGTTAAGAACATGATCAAGAAACGGTTAACTTAGTAATGGGCCATATCTAGGCCTACTAAAACGCACATGCACTTTATTACTTTATACTGTAACACAGTAGGCTAGCCTACATTGTAATCCAAAGCTGAATCTAGGCTAAGTTAAGCCTGAACCAACTTTTATTTATTGAGAAGATTAAAGGTTGCCGACTGACTGATAAAAACACTCTAAAAAGGTAAGATTATGTAAATAAATATTTAGTTAAAGCTAAGAACGAAACAAAAGTTATGGAATGTATGTAAGTTTAGACATAGGCTAACTTACATTAAGTAATAAAAAAATAATTAATTGCATTACAGAAAAGGTTAAAATAAACTTAGTTAGGAGGATGTTTCTTCAGATTGGATCAGTTTATATATTATTATTTGCCTACACAGGTTTAAATCACAGTTAAAACAATTATTTAATTAAATTTACATCTCATTAGTTAGATTCGTATTGACTGAAAACACCTAGTTATATGCTTCAAAAAAACATTTACCACATTTAGGCTACCTTCCTCAGAACGAAATCACCATTTTTCAGCACAACATTGACTTCTTGCAACTTAGGCCTAAATAAATAAACTTAATCTCACGTTGTAACACATTTACTCAACACTGACAGTAGTTTGAAATGACGACATATTTGACCAAAACAAACACAGAAGACGATTAAGTTCCAGCCGGCGCAAGCCATTTTTACCTTTATGGCAAGGCAAGGTACTTCTTATTTTAACGTTGTAAAGTATCGGAAGTATAATATATCAGTAATAAAAAATATTTAATCTGAACACTTGTTCCACTGAGTGTTGGGTAATCAATTATAAGAAGCACAAAACTGAATCACGAGTGCAACAAGTGATCTTACTGTCCAGTCTGTCAACCACTACTTCAAACGTTTGACTCGTTTCTAAGTTTCAGATCAGTTTAAAACTTTTAGGTTATGGTTACTCTGTATTTCCTTCCACACGAACACTAGAGTAGAAAGTAGAGAATGAGAGCGACTAGCGAGCAGCGAGCATCAATTCCGATTGTCGATGTTTTCGAAACATCGATGTCTTTTCTATCGATGTTCGAAGTTATTTGTTTACATCGATTGTAGATTACCGAACCGATGATTTGGTTTGTTACATCGGTCTTTTAGACCAACAAAAGTAATGAAATATTGATGTTTTCCGTAACTGAATTGTATTGGTTTTAGGCACGATTACTAGAAAAAACGTGGTTTTAGGTTAATTGGCTGTGTTGGTTTATTTAGACCAGACGAGAAACTCGGAACAAACATCGATGTGATCGATGTTTTAGCTCCGAAAGCATCGATTTTATCGGTGGATCGGTACTCGGTAGAGATGGGCGTTATAACATAACAGGATGAATAACAGTGTTGCGGCCACGGCAACGTTATCGCGGCAACACGTTGCGGAGAACTCCCTGTTATTATAATAACGTATCTATCTAAATGTTGCAGGAAAGCCGCGCGACAACGAAAACGAAAACATGCATTGCCATTAGTGCCGTTGCCGCAACGCTACCAGAGCAACGATAACTTCTGAAACGAACTAGAATAACGCATCCTGTCTGGACAACGCGGCAACGCCCGACTCCCGACTACAACTGAAAACTGAACTGCAACTGATCAACCGACAATGATAACTGAACGTCGCAACACCGACCGACCGGCGGACAACGGTTTAAGCGGCAACGAGTTGGCAATCGTTTGAAATAACAGGTTGCCGCAACACGTTATTGGGCAGCTGCGTTATCGTTATAACCGTTGCCGGAAAACAACGATAATTCCCATCTCTAGACTACTCGGCTGACGTCGGTTACGATCGGATTTGACCTTGAATAAACTACGCAATCGTTTCTGTTCGTGGCATGGCAACAAAACTATCTCACACTCCCACTTTGACGTTTTATCTCGGTGTTCATTTCGAGAATGGTTTTAATACGGAGTATTTGATTCAGCACATTTAGGGGTTTTGGCTGAATTGTTAATAATGATTTTGAGAATTCATGGTCCAATGACGAAATTCACGCATAATTCACGCACTTTTTCATGGTCACCTAAATTCACGCATAATTCACGCTTTTCAAGGTTTTCATGGCTGGTGGCAACCCTGTATAAGCTGCTGTTTTATGGCTATGTGGATGATGCGATGTGAAATGAATTGTCTGGTCTGTTGTGGTAGGTTTCCTGTAAATTCTAAAATCCAGGCAATGGTCGGTTCGTGTAATTGTGACGTCCAAAAAATTTAAGGACATGTTTGTCTCAGTTTCAAGGGTGAATTTTAGTTTCGGGTGGATACTGTTCAGATAAGTTTTTAATAACGTGATTTGTCTTTCATTTCCATTGAATATAATGAATGTGTCATCCACATATCGACTATAATGAATTATTTTGTTTATGTGGCGGTTGAAGTCTGACCACAAGAATTTATTTTCAATGTGGTTTAAGAAAAGTTCTGAGAGAATGCTGGATAGGGGTGAACCCATGGTTAAACCTTCATGCTGTAGGTAGTATTTGTTTTCAAACATAAAATAGTTTTGTTGAAGGACGCATTTGGTTAGGTTAACTAATTCTTGTTTGGCTTCATTTGATAAAGAAGAATTTTTCTCCAAATTAGATTGCAATATGTCTATGGTCTCACTAATAGGCACGTTTGTGAATAAGTTCACTACATCAAAGGATGCTAATATATAAGAGCCTTTTAATTTTATTTTTGATATTTTGTTGACTAAGTCTACAGTGTTTTTTACACTATGGTCATTCTCTAAAACGGTTTCTTTTCTGATTATGTGTTCAAGTTTTTTAGCGATCTTGTAAGTGGGAGATGGTCTAAAATTCACTAATGGCCTAATTGGTGTGTTGGGTTTGTGAATCTTCGGCAATCCTCTGAGGATGGGCGCCTGGGGATTAGTTACTTTACTACATTTGATTTCGTCTTTAGATAGGAGATTGGTGCAGGTTGAAATTAGTTTGTTTATTTCCTTAGAATAGGTTGCAGTGGGATCTTGACTTAATAATTCTATGTTGTTAGTGTCGATAAATTCACATACTTTGTTGACGTACTCGGGTCTATTGAGGATCACTGTACAGTTGCCCTTATCTGCTTTGGCGATAACGGCGTTGTTCTGTTGTAGCTTGTCTCTAATGTTTGCCGCAACTCGTTTCAATGATTTATATTGGTTTAAATATGACATTCTGGGACGGGGATTTTTAATTGTGTTTCTTACTTTATTTGTGATGATTGCTCTTGTCACGTCTTGTGATTCATTACTATCTAAATATTTGACAGCTGTTTCGGCATTTAATAGTTCGGATATCAGACTATTTTTCTTATCATTGGGAAAGTTAAAGTTAACTTAAATAACCTTAAATAAGTTCATGACCTGAAGATGTACTCGTTTAGCAGTACGAAACGGCCGTAGTTATTTAACTAACTTAAAGGATCAATTGACGCAACAGGTAAATTAAACCTGTTATATTTGCATTACCTTGATCCAGAGGCTAACCCATCATTTTAATCAAAGGCTCAGAGCTCTAGAAGCGCTCAGGAAATCCTGCAGACGCTCAATAGGAGCTATATCATCCCCACCCTCGTTAAAGTGTTTTGGTCAATTTTGCCTTACGGTACTTTTAGATTGACTCTGTAGGACCGACGAGCATTCAATCTTAGCCAATGTGATTTAACAACTCGTATTAAACCTCAAAACAAATGGTTAAGGACGTTGGTAATTGATTTTTAACGACAATGTCCTTGATAAACCTAATGGGTGCTCCATTGTGAGCCGAAATTAGTTGTAACGCAACTATTTGGATCATCAACATTACAGGTATTTAAAACATTTTAAATGTACAGTATCTTGGTAATCTGGAGGCTACCCATTCGAAAAATTAAACTTACCAAGTTTAGAGCAGCCTTAAAAGCCCGTGCAGCTCCTCTCTTGTTGTCGGTGTAAAGCTCAAACCAGCCACTTAGTACAAGGGAGTCTGCAGAAGCTGAGTTGAGGCGCAACAAGCGGTCCACATAGTTGCGTACTTTATCAAGAGACCCAGCATGCAACAGCGCAGCCGCTGCATACTGCAAACTTCTCTCATTGGCCCCACTACCCTCCTCTACCTTCCACTCCAGGTGGGTTACAGCATCTTTGTCCACATCCTGCACAATACACCCAGTGATCATACACATCCAGCATAATACACCTAGTAATTAACCGTAGAAGCACCGGGCACAACCGCATTGCTGAGGTTTGCTACCCTGCGAGTCTGCCATTGTGGTTTGAAGGCTGTGCAGTTGGAGCCAGACAGCCGACCAAGAAGTGTCAGTAGATCGAGATTGATAGACTGTGCAGCTGTACGTTGGGAGACGTTGCCAAAGGAACATCCATGGTAACACCGGGAACTACTGCGATGTTGCGGTCTGATACCCAGAGTCTGCCCTCAGTGCTACAATTCACAATCATTACCTTGGAAGCCGAGATTTTTGTAAATAGTGTAAATAGAAAGAGTCAATAAACTAGAAATATTTATTTCACATTTCCATTACTGAGTTGTGTTCCGCCATAACCCAGGACAAAAGCCCTTAATGTTAAAGAAAAATAGGAGTGTGAAAGAGCTTTTTTCCCTCAAAGGGGAAAACTTCCTTACAAGCGTAATAAATTTCCTAACTCAATTTTGTATATTTGTGTGTAAGCATATGTATGTTGGTAACGCATTGGTGCCGTTATTTTTCCGCAACCACGGACAAGAGGACCATTGTTAATAAAATAGTGTCAACCGGTATAAAGTGTCCAATGGTTCTCCTAGGCAGTATTTAACTACCTACTTGTGAAAAGTAGCTTTCTATCTTACCTAAGAGGTATGTCTCAAGATCTATGAAGCTGCTAGATTATTTTTTTCCTCGGATATCAAATATAGAATAAAGATAATAGGCCGTAGAGTAGATGTCCAAGTAACATTCATATGTAATGGCCCTAATTCAATGAGTGAGGGTAAAGTGTGGAAATGGGTTAAAGGCTTATAGAGTGTAAAAATAGCCGCAAAATCCTTTTTCCTTTGTGGCCTTCTGTGAGAAGTCTAGGTACCCACCAAATACACAACCCCATCCGAAATGAACATTTTTGCTATGTACCGCAGCCATTTTTAAACTCCCTAGCCTATTTCTGCACTTTTCTACGCCAATATTGCATCATGGTCATAAACTTCATTCATCAAGCAATGACCTTACCTCGGACATGGCGGGAGAGTCGGTTAAACATAGTACAGTTGGTACACGACAACTACAGAGCTGCAATTTGTGTCATTTTGTTCATGCCATTTAAGTGGTGAGGTGCCTAACTGCGGGGTACAAGCAAACTACGGATCTATATTCGCAAAACCGCCCTCATATATACATATGAATTTGAAGGGATGGTGTTTTTGGCCTCTGCGGAACTCAAAAAAAAGCAAATCGGTCCCTATGGAAAATTCGTCAAAAAGAACAAAAAGTGTGGGATGTGTTAGTGTAAATTAATATTTAAAATACCACATAAATTGAAAAAATAAATGTAGCCGTTTAGCAAAAATTTAAGTTATAAAAATAAAATTGCCTCAAATATTAAATTTTGGATTGGACTAAGTTAACTTTTTTTAATAAAGGTTTTGCCTACCTTCAGGTACATACAAAGTTTCATAAAGATTGGTTTATAACAATTTAAAGATTTAAAGATGTTTATTAAAAAAAAAATACAAAATGTCTTCTTGATTTTCTTTTATCTTGACCCATAAAACCATTTCCCGGGGTTTGGATGTTCACTTACGGAACACCCTGTATCCTGCTTATTTTCATTTATTTATCTTAGCCTACTTTATTAAATTGCTACTGTTTCACTAATTACAATGTTGTCCTAACATGTCCTGACCATGTTTACCGAACTGAATTAAGTGGTACAGTAAATGTGTAGATTTTAACATTTAGCAAGGCAAACCTAAACCATGATAATGACTCCTCTTTAACCACAATTACCACCCATTACTTCAAGTGAAACACATCAATCCTGAAGTACAGACAGTAACAGAAAAGAATTCAATCATTCCATAGCGGTTGTCATACCGGTACTGTAAGAAATTTTAACAAATGTGCTTAGTAAAAAAAAAAAACGCTGCTTAGAGCTTGTGCGTTTCCTGGTGAAGCCTGGGGGGTAGGTGGTTATAGTGGCTCTAGACCGGTTTTGTATGGGCTTCAACCCTACCCCCAGGCATCACCAGGAAACGCACGAGCTCTACTACAACTAAACAAAATGTTAAATCCACCTACCAAATGAGAAATTTGAAAAAAGTTTTGGTGTTATAGTCTATTTAAAGTTTTTTGTGCTTTTTTGGGACACTCTGGGAAGTAAAGGTTAGCCTACAAAAAATGTGTTGCACAGTTTTTTTATTCACATACAGTACTGTGTAGCAAGTTTTGCAAGAATGCGGCTAAAGATTTTCTACTTATTTAAACAATATATTAGATTGGTACAAAATAAATGTATTGAATTTAAAATTATATAAACTAGGCCTATGTAAGTTAACTGTAGTTTTAAGACAAATTGATACTAACCTCACAAGACTGATGGGCAATCAGGCTTAGATGGGCAGAGGCTAAACCGAATTCAGAATGTGATAGAAGAGGTTCCAAAAAGTTGATCCCTTCTACAGTTTTATCCCACAAAACCAGGGCCAAACCACGGTAAAACCTCCACTTTGCATCTCCACCACTCTTCTGGGCCACTTCTATCACCTTAGTAAATAGTTTATCTCGACAATAATATTCAATCCAGTCACTCTCCATGTTAGCACTTAGTGTTCCAGTATGTAAAGAATATTATTAGTTATTAAAACAAATGCACAGAAACTAAACATAAACCGACACAATGAAAACAGTAGACCTATGTAATTCAATTCTAGAAGCAGGTTTACACATTCATTTTTTCGCGAACCACTACCAAATCTTTGTATTTAGGATTTTCTTCTATGTACTTCTGAAGAAACTCGCAGGTGAGGAGAACCTTCAAATTTCGAGCTGAACAGTATTCAAAGACTTCCTGCAAAAACAATAATTGTATGAGCGAAACTACAAACATGTTTATATAAATGACCTTGCATTATCAGCAAATACTCTAAATTTCATCTTAACATCAGAATCAGAACCAGAATCAATAATCTTTATTTGGTCTGTATGTGCGGAGTCAATACATACAAATAATTTTACAGAAATCTTAACACGTTCAGTGCATGTAGTCGCACGACGGGCGCTCCAACCGGCCTACATCAATTGATGTAGTTGCGCAATCCCCACTACAATAGTTCAGTATAAGCTCAGCCATTGCCGGGGAACGATAAAACCGTTGCTAGCCTGTAGCTTAGAATGTGAGCTTTATTTTGGTGTAGGTTGGTACTAAAATTTCGCGTAAAACCCGTCTCACAATGCTTTTGTCCCGGTTTCGGGGATTTTCTCTCTTTAAGCCATATTACAAGGCCACTGACTACTGATCCAGGCAGTGCTGCTACCTTTGGGTGTTTTAGGGAACTACGTCCAATCTCAGGATATAGGCTAGTCAAAATACGGTCCAACATCAAACTTAAAGCAATAGAAATTAAATATATGGGATTTTGTCAACAAAGGGGTCCACAACATCATACTAAAAATCGAGAAAAATTGAAGTGGCGGAAAGCCGCCATATTGGAAAAAAGCTTCCGCCATATTGGATTTATGTAAGCTTTTAGTAAAATGGATATAGTTTGACAACTAAGCGTCTTAAAAATCTGTGGTTTGTTTAAATAGTTTCCTCATTAAGTCTACTTCAAGATAACAACAACTTTTATATCATTTCAATATTTTTTTTTGTTTAAATGAGACAGCTTTAAATTTAAAAAATACCAAATTTCAAAGATTTGTTGGTACTTCAGTATTAAACGGAGGCCACATTTTGTCAGCGCGCTGCGGCGGTTATGTTAGGTTGGGTTATCATATAGAAAGTATCGTTCGATTCATAACGAAGCGAGGAAAGTCCTACACACATAATATTTACGATAACCCAACCTAACATAACCGCCGCAGTGCGCTGACAAAATGTGGCCTCCGTTTAATACTGAAGTACCGATTTGTTTAGTAAAACCTTTAAATTTTTGACTCAGGTGATATGAAAATACATATTTTGTGGCTATAAAAATAATCTGAATTAAATTTTGAACAATAATAACCATCACATCAGTTTGTATCTTGCTTTGAAGTTGGGATATATTATGGGATATATTTGTTATCAGTCTTCAACTTGGAACGCTAGCCGTGACGCGCGCTGCACCGCTACATCTAATCCGGGTTAAAATTCATTTTGAGGGGGAAAAGATTGCTTTAAGAAAATTTAGACCATTATTTTGAAATCATTTATACAGGATAATATACAAACAAAAATCCGAAAAAACCAAGCATGGGAACACTGAAAAAGTAGACGTTTTCAAACATAACAAAATTCAATTTTTCATAATAGACAACTACAGTAGTAGTCAGAGAAATATAGGATATGACCTTAAAATTTTTTCAATGAAACGTTTTATAGTTTTATTTTTAGTGTTGGGGTGGCGAGTGACATACTAAAAGTTGTTCAAAAATTATCCATGGGAAACCCCCTAAAACGACTATGAAAAATGGCAACTTTTCCTAAAATTTACAAATAAAAAAAACACATGCAATTTTATGAAAATTTTTTGAGAAATTGACTTGGTACACTGCTGATATTTATTCGGTATTTAGTACATAATTTCGATAGATAACCCTTTTTTGACCGCCATCTTGGATCGCCATATTGGATATAAATAAAATATTTTAAAATTAATGATAGTTTTGTGACACACCATTTTAAACTAGACTTTCACGATGATTTCAATTTTTGAATGCGTTTTTAAATATTATTTTTCGCTTTTAAGATAATTTAAAACGAAAACTTTACCCCATACATTTCTTATGAACGTTTCGTACCTTGAAATTGTTTAAAATGATATTTCTTACATCTCCAGTTATTATTACCACTTGCAGTCCGTTCTAGCCTTAAATTATTCAGTGATGTAAGGGCTGTCATTTGATTATTTTGGCTATTGATAACTAAAATATGAAAGTTTTGAGACGAGCTACTAACCCCAACACAATCTTTTGACTTTTTAGGAAATCAGTTTTTATTCAAAGATTTATATTTTGGGTTGCCAATACGTCACCAAGTTATTTATGGTCTGAATGTATTGATTAAATGTTTGGCTTAATTTTTATTGATCACTAAATAAAACCTGACAAATTTAAAATTATTTAAGTAAAGGTTAGCCTACAAAAAATGTGTTGCACAGTTTTTTTATTCACATACAGTACTGTGTAGCAAGTTTTGCAAGAATGCGGCTAAAGATTTTCTACTTATTTAAACAATATATTAGATTGAATCATGAACCTTCATTTCAAATTATTTTATTTTATTTTGAAAACTGTCTTTGGTTAAATACATATATCCTCAATCTTGAATAACTCCACAAACGCTTTATAGTCTTAAATAATTCGGCAAAGTATTGACTCTTATTTTAGCTATAAATTTCGCATTTATTTATTTAGAATTGAGGATAAACGTCTTTAACTGAAGACAATTCTCTAAATAAAAATTATTTAATCCATACCTATAAAAGAGGAAGTATGTATGTATGTATGTATGTATGTATGTGTCCTATAGACTCCGAACCGCTAGACAGATTGTAGTGAAACTTCCAGGTATTATTCAAGGATAGTGTGTGTGAAGTTTGGTGCAGATCCGTCGTAAGGGCTCCGCCCCAGAGGGTTTTAAGGGGTCGATTGTCAGACTTTTGGAACTACAATTCATACAATAAATATAATTTAAAAGCAGTTTGTTTACTTTCACCAACTGCTTTGTAGGCTTGAATAATCACAACATTCTGTTTTACTCATGATTTGAAATAGTGTCACACTGTTTTCACAGAATGCAGCACAGAAAACTATTTTACTTTTTGATAAGTCCATATATATTAAACCATTGACTAAAACCTAAACACAGCATACCAGTGCACTGAACAACGTTTGAATTCTCCAATGTTAAATATGTAAACATACAAAACCTTTATCAATAAACATTAAAAGGGATAGCAATGCCTAAATAACTTTATCCTTTGTTCTATACCCACACAATCTAACATAAATTATTAAATGCCTCCCAATTTGTCATTAACCCACCACATTACTGTCATTAAAAGAAGAGCTCAAATAATACTAATGCGAAACTTAAATCCACGGATGCTGTGCAACGGAACCAGACTGATGATTAAAAACATTACACCAAATATGGTTCAAACAACAATCATCAGTAGTAAGTTTAAACGAGAAATAGTCTTAATCCCTAGAATACCGATGATTTCATCGGAATTACCCTTTGAATTGAAGCGACTCCTTTCGTCTTTCTTTCGCAGTCACCATTATAAGACACAAAGGCAATCGCTGACTGTCGCCGGTTTAAGTTTAGAAAATGTATGCTTTACACACGGACAGCTGTATGTTGCGTGCTCACGAGGTAGTAGGTACGCCTAAAAAACTTAACAACCTATCTATAAACCAAATGAAAAAAAAAACAAAAAAAAATATAGTTTGTCCACTGGCAATTAAAAGAATACAATTCTATTTTTGTTTTTGGTATACGTTTTTATTATTCATCGTAAAGAAGAAAAAAATCAAATTTCAAATAATAGTTATTAGCGCAGCAACGCACGCTGAATAAATGCTAGTTTTAAATAAAAGTCCATGTCTCATTTTAAATTTGTCAGATTTTATTTAGTAATTAATAAAATTAAAGCCAATCATTTACTGGATAATTTAAGACCAGAAAGAACTTGGTGACGTTTTATATGAAGATAATATGTGAAGATTTATATCTCGTGTTGTTAATACAACCCCAGATATAAATATTATAATAACGTCTTATTTCTAAAAAGGTCTATTTCATATTGTGTTGTGGTTTTTAGCTCGTCTCAAAATTTTCTGATTTTAATGATCAATAGCCCAAATAATTAAATGACAGCCCTTACATTACTGAATAGTTTAAGGCTAGAATAGACTGCAAGCATTAATAATACCTGGAGATGTAAGAAATATCATAAAAAAAATTCAAAGTACGAAACGCTCATAAGAAATGTAAGAGGTCGTTTGAAAACTAAAAAGGATACTAAAAAAGTATTCTAGAATTGAAATCATCGTAAAAATCTAGTTTAAATTTATGTGTCACAAAACTATCATTACATTTAAAATATTTTATTTATATCCAATATGTCATTCCAAGATGGCGGTCAAAAAAGGATTATCTATCGAAATTAGGAACTATAAAATGAATAAGTTTCAGCAGTGGTACCAAGTCAATTTCTCGAAAAATGTTCATACAAATGCACAAGGTTTTTTTTAATTTGTCAATTTTGAGAAAAGCTGCCTTTTTTAATAGTCGTTTTAGGGGTTTTCGGGCGGACTCTTTTTTTTAATAACTTTTAGTATGTCAATCCCAACAAACACAACACTAAAAATAAAACTTTAAAACGTTACATTGAAAAAAATTGTAAGGTAATTTCTTATATTTCTCTGACTACTACTGTAATTGTCTATTATGAAAAATTGAATTTTGTTATGTTTGAAAACGTCTACTTTTTCAGTGTTCCCATGCTCGGATTTTGTCGGATTTTTGTTAGTATATTATCCTGTATAAATGATTTCAAAATATGGCTTAAATTTTCCTAAAGTAATTTTTCTTACCTCAAAGTGTATTTCACCCGGATTAGATGTAGCGGTGCAGCGCGCGTCATGGCTAGTGTTCCAAGTTGAAGACTAATAACAAATATATCCCATAATATATCCCATCTTCAAAGTAAGATACAAACTGGTATGATAATTATTATTGTTCGAAATTTAATGCAGATTTTTTTAATAGCCACAAAATATGTATGTTTATATCACCCGAGTTTGTATTTGCAAAAAAATGAAGGTTTTACTAAAAAAAATCTTTGAAATTTGGTATTT